AGTTGGCCTACCTCAGTTCCTTACCACGTGAGCCTCTCCTTAGGGCATCTTATAGCATGGCAACTGGCTTCCCTCAGAGCAAGTGGGCCAGCGAAAGTGAATGCCCAAGGAAGGTAGCGTCTTTTTATAACCTAATGCGGGAAATAACATCCTATTACTTCTGCAGGATTCTGTCTGTTAGAACCAAGTCATTAAGTCCAGCCCACGTGGAAGGGGATTACCAAGGGTTTGAATACCAGGAGGTGGAGATGTTGTGGGGCTGCTTAGAGCCTGCCAACCACAAGGGCCCAGCCAATGTTGTGCCCCTTCCCTAACTATTCCTCTAGCACACTAGAGAGTCTGTTTTCCCTGTAACCAAGATTTCGATTTTATTCTATGCTGTTCAGTTGTGTTGTTACCCCAAGTGTATGAGGCTTCTCTTCTTGGTGGGACTCGGATTCCCCAGGAGCAAAGACCACCAACTCTTGTCCCCCACTTCTCTTATAGTCCCTACTGTACCCATCCCAGGACTAGAGCTATAATAAATATTTGTTGATTAAGATCAACTCTTAACTTTGGCTCACTTGAACTTTTTCTCTTTCAGTCCAGCTTTCTGGGGCTCTGGGATTTCTGTGGGAGCCTTTACGTTCAGAGCCTTTTCCTGCTGAGCAAACAGACTTTGTCTGGGTCGATAATCCTTGTTGGGAGGGTGAGGCAGGGTTATTGTTTACACTACAGAGCTGTCTTCTGATGCGTTTAATGTTGGAATTTAGCTATTGAGAGAACCAGGAATGATTTGGAGCCTTTAGAATGGAGAAAAGGTGAAAGGCAAGAGAACTAGCACTTTATGTTGAGTTATCTCATTTAATCCTCCCAGTAAGTATGATGTGCAGCTTACACCCCCCGCTTTGCAAATATGGAGGCTGGGGCCCCACAGTTAGCAAAGAGCAGAGCCAGAACCTGAACCCAGACCCCAGAGTCTCTCCCTCACCTCTGCCTTATGCTTCTAGGTGTATTTCCAGAGCAATTTACCCTCCAGTCAGGGTCTTTCCTGCTGGTGCTATTGGCAGTATCCAACCCCACTCTCTGTGATTTCTGTGGCCCATTTGTGTGTCCTGAGACACCCAGTAAATACCTGATGAATGAACTCTTCCTCCTCTGGAGTGGGGAGTGGGCAGGAGGCTTCCACACTCACTCCCAAAGGCCGGAGAGAATATTAAACCGGCTCAGCCAGTGTGCCTGACCCCACAGAGTGTGGAGAGGACGAGTGAGGCAGGGAGAGGGTGGTTGGTTGGGTGAAGTGTGGCAAAGAAATCTTGTCAGAAGCTCTGACACCCCAGGAAGAGGTCACTTGAAATGTATTGAAATGTATGTAAATGTGTGACTTGCCAAACAGATTTGTTTACCATTTTCTGACGGGTCCCTGCAGTGGCCTCAGCCCCCTGCCACGTGAGACTCTTGGTGGAGGGTAGTGTGGCAGGGACTGAGCAGACCCAGAAAGGTATGCAGAAAGAGTTACCCCAGCAGGCCTGAGACCTCCATCTCTGAAAGGCCTGCTCACAAGGTTGGCCTCTGGGATCTTAGCTTTCTGGAGGGCGCCCACCACCCTCACTGATAGTTTCTCGCTGGGCCTAACCCATGCAGACAATGTGGTTTATGCTCCACACCTGCTTTCCTTCTGGGAGTCTAGAATCTTGAGATGTGCTAGGCAGAGGATGCCTACAGGACTAGCCCCCAGTACAGGCCCTGGGCGCTGAGTCTCTAACGAGCTTCCCTGCAGCGTCATATCATACGTGTTGTCACAATTAGATGCTGGGGAACTAAGTGTTTCCTGTATGACTCCACAGAGACAGGACTCGAGGAATCTCGTGCCCGGTTTCCCTTTGCTGATTTTGCTTTGTATCCTTTTGCTGTAATAAATCTTAGCCATGAGGATGACTAAATACCGAATCATGTGAGTCCTCCTGGCAAAATATGAAACCTGGGGTGGTCTTGCGACCCCTGACACACTAGGGAAGGAGGAGTGGAGGGTAGGGGTGGGGTAAGAGCTGGCCCCCCCTAGATTTCTGCAAACCCTCTTAACTTCACAACTGCCCAAACTTCCCCCTCCTGAACTTCCTCTTTCCCTCTTATGGTTTCTAATTTTCTCCTTTCCCTCACTAAATAGTCTCATTATTCAAAATAAATGTTTGAGGGTGTCCCCCTGTGATTCAGCCTAGTCTGAGCATTGATATGAGAGAAATAGACGAGGGCTTAGTAATATGAAAAAATCTTAAATCCATTAACTGATAAATGATAATAAAAATACATGTAGGCACTCCATTTAAAATTCTTTTCCTCTTTAAAATATCTGAAATGGTGTCCTTCTCTGAGAATGTAGGTGGGTGTCACCTGAAGGGTGTCGCAGAGCAGAAAGAGTGTCATTTGGCATGGACACAGAAGAAGTCTCAGCAACCTACTGCAGTGTCACCAGGCAGAGTGTTCTTGAGGTCGTTGGTGTTGGGGAAGAGGGAGAATTCCGCTCCGTCCTTTCTCTTAAGGTACTTATAATTAAAAGACAGGTTAGCAGGAGAAAATCAAACGAAGTTTAATAACATGTAGGTACATGGGAGAAACCAGGGAAACTGAATTTCTCAACAAATGCAGAGATTTTCACTTTAAATAGATTTAGAGGGGCTGGCCGGGTGGCGCAAGTGGTTAAGTGCGCGCACTCCGCTGCGGCCTAGGGTTCGCCAGTTCGGATCCTGGGCGTGCACCGACGCACTGCTTGTCAAGCCATGCTGTGGCAGCATCCCATATAAAGTGGAGGAAGATGGGCATGGATGTTAGCCCAGGGCCAGTCTTCCTCAGCAAAAAAAAGAGGAGGATTGGCAGATGTTAGCTCAGGGCCAATCTTCCTCACCAAAAAAATAAATAAATAGATTTAGATAAAGGCAAAGGAGAATGTTGGGGGTGGGGGAAGAGATAGCTATGGGAGATTACCAGAAAGCACAGCAATCAAGAGTATACAGATGTAAGTCCTCTCCTTCCATACTGATGAGAGTTTCCAGAGATAAGGTCATTCCCCCCTCTTCCCAGTACAGAAAGGGAAATACTTTTACAAATGTAAATGTTTGGTAAACAGAACTTTGATAAGAATGGGCTTCGCAAGGACCCTGCCAGTCTGTCCATACCCAGAGTTCAATTCCTTTAGGCAGTTGGTGGGGGAGGTCAAATGTCTGTCAGAGAAAATAATCAAGGTAAAGATACATATTTTGGGGTGGCCAATTTTGATCTCCCACATTGGCAATGTGACAGATGTGAGATTTCTTCCCCAAATCTGGGAGGGGACAAAGGTGGGAGCAGGGCCAGATCCAGTGGGTGGTGGAAGCCTTTTTCAGACCTTTGAATTTCAATTCAGGGGGAGAGATACTGGGAGTTACTGGATGGTTTTTGACAGAGGACTGAGATCTCAAATATCTTTTCTAGTTCCAAGACTACATATATATGAATACCCGCATGTCTCAGACCGTTCCTGAAGTACAGGGCCATTTTGGAGAAATTGGTGCCATAATTTTATGTTCTTTTATTGTAATTTCTAGGAGCTGAGAGCCATTGAGTCATCCTCAGGGATCCTGCCTGGCTTGGCACTTTCCTTTCTTCCCCTTCCTCCTTGCACTGTCTTTAAGAAATAGAGGCCTACAAGACTTGGAAGCAACCCAAGTGCCCATCAACGGATGAATGGATAAAGAAGATGTGGTATATCAATGGAATACTACTCAGCCATTAAAAAAAGACAAAACCGTGTCATTTGCAACAACATGGATGAACCTTGAGGGTATTATGCTAGGTGAAATAAATCAGACAGAGAAATACTGTATGATTTCACTCATATGTGGAAGATAAACAAACATAGATAAGGAGAACAGATTGGTGGTTACCGGAGGGGAAGGGGGTGGAGAGAAGGTGAAAGGGGTAAAGGGGCACATATGTATGGTGATGGATGAAAACTAGACTATTGGTGGTGAACACTGACAAGAGATTTTCACATATTGAGGTATATGGGGTAACTATTCGGATTCAAAACTGATTCGGCTTGAACAAAAAGCCTGACTTATGGCCTATCAAACATACATTGTACATCTGCTTAACCATTAAAGTAAAGAATACACTCTCTTAAGATAAGAACTCATACTTCTCCTCCTGCGCCCTATTGGTAACGCCCTATTGGTAACACCCAATGCCCTATTGATAAGGCCCGGATTAGTCCCTTTCCTGACATCACGGTCACATTGACCTGTTAATTTGCAATTGAATACCTCTTTAAACTTTGATGAAAATATGTCGTGGGTGTGTTTAATGTACATTCTTTGTTCTAAAAAGATATAAAACTGGATCGTAAACCATGCTTCTCCAGAACGCTTTCTAAGGCCTTCCTGGGTTATAATCCTCACTCTGGCTCAAGTAAACTCACCTTATTTCTCTTATCTATAGAACCGTTATTGGTTATTTTGCATCGACATTTCTGGGCGTAGTCAGGATTTCAGAGAAACCCACCAGAGACCACCTGGAATCTACACTGAACTGGCACTGTGGCCCACTGAGCCCCCCTGGATCACTGCATTCTTCAGGTGACCCTAGTGAGTTCTCCTGAAACCCGGACCTCCTTAGTTTTAAGTCAACGGTCCAGAGTTTATTTGAGCTGTTTCAGACCCTAAGACGAGGTGTCTTTAAGGGGGTACCTGTACACACCCTAGGTCAGAGGAACCTCGGGGGGACTTCCTAGGAAAGAGAAACCTAGGCAGAATTTCCTAAGCCAGGGGAGCCTAGGGGGAATTTTGGAGTGAATGGGGCAGGCTGATCTTTTTAATTTGGCTTTAAATTGGAAAGAATTGTGTTTATAACGTCTGAACAAACTGCTTGATAGAGAAATGAGAGTCTGAACTTGTTCAGCTCCGAAGAGAAGAAGAGAAGGGACACCAGCTCCTCCTGGCCGAAGTTCTCAGTTGCCTGAGGACCTAGCGGGAGTGTTTGAGGTTGAGCCTCAAGACGTGTAGCGGTCCCATAGGGAACTCCACTATCATTCATGTTAATTAATTAAAGGCTTATCTGGGGAAGCGCTTATAGGGGCTGGTCACCTACCTGCTCCGAGCCCGCATGGTAGTTTTAGACTGCTGGCGGGAAAAACCGAGGCATGTAAGAGAGTGATTATGACCTTTCTTTAAGGAGTAACACTCACAAGCAGCACACTTCTGACCCACTACACAGTCCCTAGAAATTGTTCAGACTTTATAGCAAAACCAAACCAAAAGAAAAGCGGGAAATTGAGCTTCTAAAAGCCCAACCAGTTCCCGAATGGCCAGCCTCCCCTCCGAACTCCAGCGACTTGTGCAAGTGCTTAATAAAAGGAGCCTAAGACTGCAAGAAAGAAAAAGTTGGGAAAAGAATCTTTTGCAGATGCAAACTGCTACAATTTTTAAAAAAGAGGCTATAAAATCTTTGTTCTATCTATCTGTTTCTTCTGTGTCTGTTTCCATGTCTGGTCTGTAAATAACTTAAACTTGGCTGTTTGGGGGCTGAGTTTCTTCTCAGTGATAGTAACAAACTCTCTTTAGAAATTACCTTGTTTGTTGCGGCCACCTTGGGAAAAGCCCCGTAAAATGGAGATAACTGTAAACAGCTGGCAAGATAACCTGGGATCATTTAAAATTACAGTGGCCACTTTGGGCTCCTTTTGAGCTTGGGAGCTCCCCTCTGGTTTCAGGGCCTGATCACCCCCGCAGCACCAAGTGAGGTGCCCTCTCTTGGCGATTCTGGTTTCTGGTTTCTGTTAATCTGTTTGGACACCTGGAGTGATTTCAGACGGGCCCGTGGGTCAGTCCTTTGACTGACCAGGCTGCAGCTTCTGGTTTCAGAGAGTCCGAGCTCTACCTCTGGGAGCTCTCCTCTGGTTTGGGGGCACCTGGAGTGATTCCAGGTTGACCGTGGGTCATTTGACTGAAATCTGGAACCCTGTTTTTTCTCCTGTCCAGAACCTGTGGAGCATTTTAGGTGCCTACTGAGTCAGTTGTAGGGACAGGAGGTCTGTAATTTATTCTGTAAACTGTCCTGCTGGAATTGTGCGCCCCCAGCACGGGAACTGTTGTTTCTGTGACCCTATCTTGATAATCCTTGGGAAGAGGACATGAGGGCAAGGCCTGATCACCTCTTTTCCTTCTTTGTCTGTCTCATTCATCACCTCCTCTGTTGTCACCAAGTCAGAGTTAAGTTCAGGCTGGACCTGAGCAGAAGCTGGACTTTCTGTAACATCGAACCCTTGAAAAACTTTCTGCCAGGGATTTAACTCTCAACCCTAGCATTGGGAGCTCCAGTCCCCAGCCCGCTCCAGGCTTGTGCCTCTTGCCTCCCTGGCTTGCCTTGTGCTGGCTCAGGGACTAAGTGCCCAGGCTGAGTGGGACTTGACTAAATCTTACTGCTATATTGATGCCCTCAGTCGGGCTCTGCACCCTTCTCTGGGCCGCTGTCAGTCAGACACTGACAGTGCTTTCCCCGCCATGGAGAACGCCCCAAGCAGCCCCAGAGACTCAGCCCTTGGGTGCATTTTAACTAATTGGAAACACTTTCTATTGGATGGGTTATGCCCCAGAAACTCCATCGTGGGGAAAACTTGAGTGGTTTCTCTGTGCCTTTGTTATGTAGTTGGACAGGTAGATCAATCTATAATATTATTTGAGTTACAATCCAATTTCTGAGAAATTAAGAGCAATTGTCCTCAAAAAGAAAAATCCTTGAAAGACTGGAAATGCAGCTGTAGAGGCAGTTCAGAGTCCACCCAGGTCCTTTATCTCAGAAGGGATTGTCGCCTTGCCTCTCTGGGAAGTGTTATCTAGCTCATCACCAATTCCTAACACTGAAGGGAAAAAAAAAAGGGGGGAAAGGCCAAAAAATGGCCGTAAGAGTAGCCTTGCCAAAAATCTAGCATCTTGAGTGTCTTCTCCAAATATTAGTAAAATAGGCTTAAAACACAATTTGGATTCGTAACTAGGGAGCTTGTATCACTGTACCTGATTCGTGGCAGTAATTTTAAAACAACAGGTGTGGAGACTCTGTGTATGTGTGTCTATCTGTATGTTACATGTGGGATATTTTACCTCTGGATGGTATGGTGAAAATTAAGAGGTCTGCTTAATTGGCCTAAAGTGAGCACTTAACATAAATTCCAAATGTAATAGAAATTAACCCAAATGTCTTTCAAGTTAACATGATATAGATTAATCTTTGGTAAATGAAAGCTGGCTTAAGTTTGTTGGTTTGATTGACAATTGTTGGAAATAAATGGTTTAGATAGATGAAGATAAGTAAGAGTTTTTGGGTACAATAATTATGTTTTATGGTCTGTATACCTGAAAAAGACAGCTTCCAAATTCCTTTTGGTAACTTAAAACTTTAGTTTTACTAAATTAAGTTAATGATAAAAGTTTGTTCAGTACTGGGTCATTTTCAAATAAGATAAAATACTGAAACATTATTGCTAAATATATCTAAGTTTATCTACTTTTGGCTTATAACAGAAAAACTAAAAGGTATTTATAAATTTGCCAAACCACGAAATGCTAATGTGAAAGAAAGTTTATAATTGCTTACTTAGTTTTTACTTAAAAATTAAAATTTCTCAGGGTTTAAAATTCTAGTATGTGATTAAGGCTACTAGAAATTAATAAGGAAAAAATGTTTGTATTCAAGAAAAGTAAAATTTTTTTTTAGTAAAGAAGGTATGAAAAATGGAAATATTTGTGTTTGCTTGGTTAAGAAGGATAAATTTGGGCCAGCCCCGTGGCTTAGCAGTTAACTGTGCACGCTCCGCTACTGGCGGCCCGGGTTCGGATCCTGGGCGCGCACCGACGCACTGCTTCTCCGACCATGCTGAGGCCACGTCCCACATACAGCAACTAGAAGGATGTACAGCTATGACATACAACTATCTACTGGGGCTTTGGGGGAAAAAAGAAAGGAGGAGGATTGGCAATAGATGTTAGCTCAGGGCTGATCTTTCTCACAAAAAAATAAATAAATAAATAAACTGTTTAAAAAAAAAAAAGATCTAAAAAAAAAAAAAGATACATTTGTCCTGAAGTACTAGAAGGGGAGAAAGGAAGGCATGGGACAAATTCTGAATGTAAAAAGTAAGTGACAGAAGTGAAAGTAAAACCCTGAGGAATTTTGTACATGGTCATGTTGGCTAAGATTAAAATGAATCTAATTAAGTAAATAAGTTTTAATGTCAAAAGTAAGCTGGTGCAAAGTTAGAATTTGGTTTTTCTCTCTCTTAAAGGGATAATTTTCTTGAACTTGATAAAGAGGTTATAAAAAGTTTTTCTTTGCCTTTGAGTAAGTCTACCTAAAAGAATATTTTTGACAAGCTCCCCAAAATTCATATCCTAAGTAAAGTCTTTCTTTTGACTTTTTTCTTTTAGAAATTTCAAAGGGCTCTGAGACTTCTCAAAGAAATTTATTCTATTTCCTATAAAGAGGGAGATACTAATTAGGCTTGTTTGGTATGCTAAATTGCATGGGAAACATCAAGTAAATGATAAACCTTCTTAGGTTATATTGCATAGGTAGATATTATTCACTATTTTAACCCTGCTACCTTGCTTCCAACATCACAAAAGGAAAAGACCACGACTGCATTCTATTTAATTTGGTTTACAGATGGGTCTTACTTAAGTGGTAGGCAAGACATTATCAAGCTGGATATGCTGTCCAGCCTCAAGAATGCCTGCTGGGGCCAGCCCCGTGGTGTAGCAGTTAAGTGTGTTAACTCTGCTGCTGGCAGCAGGGTTCAGATCTCGGGAGCGCACCTATACACTGCTTGTCAGGCCATGCTGTGGCGGCATCCCATATAAAGTAGAGGAAGATGGGCACAGATGTTAGCCCAGGGCCAGTCTTCCTCAGCAAAAAGAGGAGGATTGGCATGGATGTTAGCTCAGGGCTGATCTTCCTCACACACACACACAAAAAAAACCCACAAAAAGAATGCCTGCTACTTTGTACTAATTCTGCTAACCCCATAAAAGACTTCCTTCTACAGGCTCAAGAACTCGCCACGGAAGAAGAGAAACAGACATGACAGTCAAAAGGGGGAATTTTTGAGACCCCCTCACAGATGTGGTTTGGACCCATTAAGAAACTCATAGTACCTATTGGAGCACAGCTGCCGCTGCTCCTAGATATACACCAGTTAACCCACTGGACACCTGAAAAGATGATTTTATGGGGAAGTAATACCTTTGGAAACTTTCTCCTACAATGGCTCATAAAGCCTAATACTCATGTTGTATGCCCAAAATATAATCCAGGGAAAATGTTTCATGAATCACAAGGCCACTTTCCCCTTGCTAAGGGACCCTTTGAGGTATGGCAATTGGACTTTTTCCAAATGCCACCATCTCGAGGATATACATATATCTTGTAATGATCTGTGTGTTCTCACATTGGGTCGAGGACTTTCTTTACAGAAGAGCAATGGCTTTAGATAAATTATTATTGGAGAGAATAATTCCTGTTTGGGGAATTCCTACTGAGTTACGTAGGGACTGGGGAACTCATTTCACTGGACAAATAATTAAATCTACTTGTAATATTTGGCCAAAAATGCAGGATGTCCATTGAGCTTACCATCCCCAATCCTCAGGATTGGTGGAAAGAACTAAAGGGCACAATCAGAACTCAATTGGCAAAGCGTTCAGAAGCATTTAATCTCTCGTGGCCAAAAGCCCTTCTGCTAGTGCTCCTCAATCTTAGATCTACACCCTTTGGTAAATATCAGCTCTTTCCTTTCAAGATGATAATTGAGCTTAGAGGAAGAAATGTATACACCAATTTTGCTTAAAGGAAATACCTTAATTATTGTCAAGGTCTCATTGAGACACTTAAAAAAGAAAAAAATGGTGAGAGATTGGTGGCCGATTCTTTTCACAGAGAGCTCCCAGACCTTAAGGATCATGGACCTGGAGAATTTGGTTATCAGAAGAGGCATCAAATAAAAGACTCTTTGCAGTCCTGTTGGAAAGAACCATACCAGGTACTTTTAACCAATTCATGAGCTGCAGAATCGAAAGGCATAGACTCATGGATTCACATTTCTCGTTTTAAAAAGAGGTTTTTCCACCTGAGTGGGTTTCAGTTCCTATTTCTGATATCTGACTTCAACTGACCAATGCAAATATCTCCAAACCAGGATAAGAAGAAGACAGCATCTGTTGTAGACAGCTGTCCCAAGACTCTGGACAG